GCGCTAAGCCAGCTGAATATTAAGAGAGAGAAAAAATCCTACAGCTGATCATCAAGGTCTAGGTCTATTGTACTTTTACAGATAGCGAACTTGCTTTATAGCCATATCATTCATACGCATGATGCGTCAGATGCTTACTGTTTACCAAGCCTAGGCACCGTAAAATTTTCAAAACAACACTCATTTAGAGCAATGGAAAACTTTTAAATAAAACAAAAATTCCCTACCCACATAAACCCCGCTCCGTATGCAAAGCAAATATTCCGCTAGGATATCACAGATCACAGAAGAACATGTATGGAAAACAAAGTTATCAGGAAGGAGGACCCTGGTTCCCACCGTGTAGGTTTCGCAGCAGATCCAGCTGAGCTTTAACTTGATCAAAGTTCATAGCCGGGGTTTGGGCCTGGGGAGGCTGATGCTGTTGCTGATGGTGCTGGGGCTGGGGCTGGGGCTGGGGCTGGGGCTGGGGCTGGGGCTGCTGGTAATGCTGCTGAGACTGTTGGTACTGCTGCTGCTGTTGCAGAAGCTGCAGGAATTGTTGCTGCTGTTGCAAGATAGCCATAGATTGAGGATTATACTGAGGAGCACCCTGCTGCATGTTCTGGAAGTTAGGTTGTTGTTGTTGTTGGAAGCCGGCATATGGAGGGAACTGGAAGGGCATCTGTGGTTGCGCTCCACCTTGGCCGAATTGCGGCTGCTGCGGGTTCTGGGCTTGCTGCTGTGCGTATTGCGCATATGGGGCGAAGGACTGGGGCATCCCGTATGTCTGCTGGGGCTGCTGGTACATTGGCTGGCCGTAGGGAGCAGCGGGCTGGGCTTGAGGTTGAGGCTGAGGTTGGGACTCATGGGCTGGGCCGCTGGCCTGCTGTGGACGGCGGTCTTGGTCCCACTCCCTTCCTCCACGTCCACCTCTGCCTCGTCCTCCGCGTCCACGATCACCCCGGTCACCACCTCGGCCACGACCTCTTCCGCCACGGAACCCGCCACGCTCGTTGCCTTCAACTGGTGGATCGCGAGTCATCATCTCGTGGAGGTTGGTAGGACGTGCAAGAGGGGTGTAGCCCTCCTCACCTCCGGCATCGTCGTAGTTGAGCTCGGTCTGGTTCAATTTCGAAGGTCCTGGTGCTGGCTTCTTGCCTCTGGGGCCTTCTCTGGCTTCCTTTCGCTCTTGTCGCTTCTGCTTCAGTTTCCGCTTGTATTCAGCCTCCGCTTCATCGTCAGAGAATTCCATCTCTTCAGCGGCAACCTCCTCATCGTGGAAGTTGGAAGCATCACTTCCTTTCAAGCCCTTGAGCGGCTGAGTGAACACAAAGGTGGAGTGTTCTTCAACATAGAAGATATCCTTGCCTTTGACCAAGCCCTTTTCCTGAACTTCGGAGGTTGTGGCGTATGTGACGGTATACAAAGGATTCTCCACTCTGCCCAGGGTCTCCGCTACTACACCAATGGTCTGGCGATCATCAGAGCAGAGCAGGGAACCCGACTCCAGTACCTGATATTCTCCAGAGGTATTAGCCTCGATAAGAACATTGTTGTCGATGGCGGCATGAACTTTGCCAAGGAACACAATCTTCATCTCGGGGGTGATCTTAACGTCGGGGATAGGCAAGACCTCCTGTTCAATCTCATTGGCGGTCCGCAGTTGTCCGCCTGGTTTCCCCTTGCCGTCTCCCTCGTCGTCAGATCCACCTTCTGCTCGCATGAGAATCTGTGCTTGCTCCTCCGCGCTGAGGATGGGATAGTCTTCGTCGTCACTATCATCGGAGTCCGAGGAATCAGAGCTGTCTGAAGATGACTCGTACGGGGAAGAGTCTTCTTCCCACTCAGGGTGGTCCCCTTCTTCGTCATCACCAGCTTGGCCAGTGGCTTCGATCATATTGTCTTGGTGGGTATCTTGCTCGACATCCATAGCTTCGTCGAGGGGAGCAGTGGGTTCGCTTTTGATTTGCGCCCCTGCCTCCTCCTTCGTCACTGCCTCGGTGGACTCCGTGGACTCGGGCTGGGAGATGCGCTGGGCTTCCTCTTTCTTAGTTGCCGTCTCGGCTTCTTGGTGGTTCACTGCTTGATCTTGCTCTTGCGCAATTGTGTGTTCGGTCAACTGCGAGCCAGTTTCTTGTCCGGATGGGTGGTGAAGAAGGTTCAATCCGGGGATCATATGGCTTGGTTTCGAGGAAGTAGAGGGTTCGAATGCGCTGTTTCCAGAATTTAGGCTGGTTATACCCATGTCTGGTGTACCTGCAGCCAAGGGGGTGTTATAAAAATCGCTGCCGTTGTCTGGGGTCCCTGGGATAGGCGTCTCAATAAGACAGGGTTTTTTGGGGGCAGGGCCTTCACCGGCACCTGTGGTGTCATTAGAGTGGTTGTGGTTTCCGTCCATATTGAATCTTCAACTCAAATATTTATTCAACAAAAACCAGTTCAACTTGAAAGATCAGAAGTCGCACGAGAAACTTTTTTTTATTCTGCCAAACTCCACAGGGCGGTCAACAAAGTCTTATCGGTTATCGTAGCTCTATCCATTTGATGCCTTTCGACTTAAGTCCAACTTGCAAGATGGCAGGGAACGAAAATGCGTCGAGGGATGCCCATACGCCTCGGTCAAAGAAGCAGTATGTATATGAATATGTGTGGGAATAAACATGACGCTAACGGATGTATAGACCCCCACCACCTCCCTTCTACATTCCCCTCAACATCACTCTCTACCTATTCCTAGCTGCCAACACTCTCGCTGCAATATTCTCTCCAATTCAAGATTGCGATGAGGTGTTCAATTTTTGGGAACCTGCGCATTATCTTCAACATGGATATGGTCTTCAAACTTGGGAATATTCACCGGTTTATTCTATCCGGAGCTGGCTCTATGTGTCGCTCCATGCCGCTGTAGGCAAGATCGGGTCTTCGGTAGTCCACAGCAAGACAGCTGAATTCTACACAATTCGCCTCTCTCTTGCATTTTTTTGTGCTGCCTGCCAGACTCGACTATACTCTGCGATATGTCGTACACTCAGCCCCCGCATCGGTCTCTTTTTTGTGATGATCGTCACACTCAGCCCTGGCATGTTTCATGCTTCGACTGCCTTTTTGCCCTCTACCTTTACCATGTATATGTCTATGCTTGGTCTGGCTTCGTTCCTGGATTGGAAAAATAGCCGGAAAGCAGCACAAGGCATCATGTGGTTTGGGCTGGGGACAATCGTTGGGTGGCCATTTGCCGGTGCTCTCATTGTCCCTTTGTTGGCTGAAGAAGCGATTGTTAGTTTAATATCTGGGTCTTTCGGCTCACTGTTATACAATGTCTTTGACGGCATCATTCGTTGTTTGTCGATTCTGGTAAGTGGCATTCTACTGGGTTTCAATAGCTTTACTAAGATGTATCACAGGCTCTCGAAGTTGCAGTTGACTATGCCTTCTTCCAAAAGCTCGTTCTTGTGCCTTGGAACATTGTTGCATACAACATCTTGGGGGGGGAAGGTAAGGGCCCGGATATTTTTGGAACTGAGCCGTGGACTTTCTATATTCGAAACCTCTTGCTCAACTTCAATGTCTGGTTCATCTTCGCCATGCTATCTGCGCCTCTCCTACTTTTCCAGATCGTCTTTCGATCGCACACCACCTCTCTGCAAACCTCATTGCGGTCCATGACCCTGGTCGCTCCCTTCTACATGTGGTTCGGGATCTTCTCGGTCCAGCCACACAAAGAGGAGCGGTTTATGTACCCAGCATACCCGTTCCTGGCACTTAGCGCGGCTTTGAGCTTCCATATTATCCTGACCTACCTTGGCTCTACTGATCGGAAGGAACTGATCGGCCGCGTACCAACTCAACTAAAGATTGCTGCAGCTATGTCAGTTGTTCTAGTAGCTCTGAACGCCGGCATGCTGCGCACTCTAGGAATGGTTACGGCTTATAACGCTCCATTGAAGGTTTTTGAGCCCCTACAGCATGTGGATATCACGCATACAGGAGACTCGGTGTGTTTCGGCAAGGAGTGGTATCGCTTCCCGTCATCATATTTCCTTCCCAATGACATGCGCGCCAAGTTCATCCGAAGTGAATTCCGGGGACTACTTCCGGGCGAGTTCCCGGATTCGCCGAGTTATCTTGGGCGCCTAGATGGTACCTCGCAGATTCCATCTGGCATGAATGATCTCAACATCGAGGACCCTAGCAAATACGTAAGTGTCTCAACGTGGCGCTGGAGCGATTATTCATGTCCCTATGCTGACTTTCTAACAGGTTGATATCTCTCAATGTTCTTTCCTGGTTGACTCTTACTTCCCTGGTCATGACGCCACCGAACTAGAACCCCATTACCTCCTGGACAAGGCGCAATGGGAGACACTTTCCTGCGCAAACTTCCTCGATGCGTCTCAAACAGGTCTGCTAGGTCGATTAATCTGGGTTCCTGATCTCCCAGTCATCCCAGCTCGCTTCCGACGCAAATGGGGCGAATACTGTCTTCTCCGGAGAACAGCCGCGGGCCATGTATAGATCCAGGATATACCCTCCTGGATAAAACGCATAGAAACATTATGTAAAAACATCACGGAACATTCAGTCGCATTGTACCTTGGAAATGTGAGGTTAAAGTACAAGTGTAGCGTCACCTTTCCCAATTCGGACAAAAGATCCCTATCCATTTTTAGCTTTTCTCCGCAGATAGACCTCACTCGTCATTAGAGGCCAACAACAAACAAATGACAAAATCATGCAGTCCCGGATTTGACAGCTCGAAAAAGACGATATCCCCCTCTTCCCCAGACAAGATAGTCTCTATTCCCAGCCATAATTGACATATTCACCCAAGATGGCCTGTCTCGTATCGGATTAACAGAGCATCTCTGAGAGAACCAGTTAATATCTTTCCCCGCACTCTGGACGTGATAAGGGCAATCCGCTTTGCGTTCACTATATACTAAAACTACTTGGGGTTCCTCGCCTTCTATTCTCGGTGTACCCTCGAACCAGGTACTACCTAGTGTCTCACCATGACTATGTCGGTAATTGAGCCCCTATGGGGAACTATCTTATCTATCCCAACGACAAGGCCCGTGTATGCCTTTCTCATTCTCGGTGTCTGTATATGGCTTGTCATTGTGGTCTCGCGGAAGTGGGCTTCTAGCACAGCAAGAGCTTCGAGAAGTGATCTAGAGAAACCCACAGGTGTGAGAGGAAAGGTCACCAGGACACTGGGTGGTAAGTAAATACGGGATGTTAAATCCATGCAAGAATGAGAAAGGCTCACTAACTCTTGCTGCATAGAGTGGACTCCATCGGACTTCAAACGGCCAACAGCAGCCCCATACTCAGGATGGGATGTCCACTCGACAAAGCCAATTCCTTACCGACCCTTTAGATATGGCCCGTACGTTGAATAGATTGACTTGAGATATGGCTGTATTTTGACCGTTTCTGGCAGAAACTACTACATCACGCTGGGTCTAAGGAGTATGAAATGGGACGAATGGATCGGTGAGTCGCTCGATAGTCAGATCCCACCAGCTCATTGACCTCATATATCCCGAACACAGAGCTCGACAACCACTATCTAAAATACCACGCCGACAAAGCACGCCGCATCGAAGAGCGCGGGAGCAAATGCTGCCACACAGCACCAGAGGCAATGGATGCGGCAATCGAACTACTCGAAGAACTGTAAGACCTAACAAAAAACATACAACCCCATATCCATGAGCCCCATCCTGACACCCCTCCCACCAGATGTGCCTACCTCCCCGAAAGATACCCCAGCATGTTCACCAAGACCGCGACAGGCATAACCAACAACGTAACCAACGAAACCTTCAACATAACCCAACGCCCACTCCCAGAAGACCCAATGACAATAGCAGCACGACTAGTCCAAGATGACCTAGCCCTAATGATCGAGCGTGCAGACGGCGAATACTATCTACTCGCAGGTGCAATCCTACTGGCCGGATTCTGGCGACTGGGTGACAAATTCGGGATGCGACTGTCCGAAATCCATACATCTGGCGACGTACCGCAGTTCAAGAGCAAGCTCGAAAAAGGAATGATGAATTTCTTCCGACGACTACGACCCGAAGAACCTGTTCTGCGGAACAACTATTTCATCCAGGTGGATGATAACCTTGCGTGGTCTGATAGTATTGGGCCTGAGGATGCGGAGACTGTATCGTGGAATACGGCGGAAAAGAACCGTGCTATTGAGAATCATTTCTTTCGCTCGGAGAGGCAGTCGCTGAGGAGATTGCCCCGATCTGGGGCTGTGGTTTTTACGATTCGGACTTATTTTGAGCCTATTACTAGTATTGTCGAGGAGGCTTATGTTCCAGGTCGGTTGGCGGATGCGATTAGGAGTTGGGGGGATGATGTTGGTCGGTATAAGGGGAAGGAGAAGTATCAGGATGTTTTGTTGGAGTTTTTGGATGAGAAGCATAGAGTGCAGGTTGAGGGAGGATTGGAGGTTGAGAAGGAGGATGAGGTTAGGAGTTATCCTCTTTGAGTGGAATTGTGATATATGGTATCTTTTGTTTATTGGATTACATATTATGATATTTCTAAAAGGTCAGGGTAGTAAAGAGCATGCTCAGATGTAACCAACTCCATATTCTTACAATCGCTGAACACGTTTAATGCAACTCAGACTCAAGACAAATTATACATCAACGGACCCTCTCCGACCTCCACCCCGTCTGGCATAAGCCATTTCACGTTCCTCACGCCAAGAGCACTCATCACGGAAATCGCAGATCCGGCATTTCCACGCGTCCATGATCTCCACGCCGCGAGGATCTCGCTCGCCGCGCCACCAAGTCATCTGGTCGGCGAGGTAGGAGGTGAGAGATGTTGGATCGAAGAGGAAAGATCGACTTCCGATGAGCTGTCTCTCTCGGTCTTCGTTGGCAACAGATGAGAGATACCTAGCTGTGAGCACCGGGGAGAGGAGTGTTGAGTATGATTCCAAGATCTCTGGCTGGGAAACTGATGGGATGGATGGTGCGATTGATTGTGTGTTGAGGGGATCTTCGGGGAGGAATGTGAGACGGAGTTGTTGTATCATGAGACTCCAAAGACGGGAGAGGTTGTTATGTGATAGGAGGAGGCCGGTTGAGTCCTCGCTAGCATTAGAGGGACCCTCATTCTGTTCGGACTCTTGTGAGGAGAGATCGTCGAATAACTGGTCGTTCAGGCCGCCAACCTCCGAGACGAAGGCGTTCGTGAACGGTTTCTGGGCGTCAAAGTCGTAACGAGTAGCGAGGAGGTCAATAGTAACATCGTCGCTCGTGACCATCCGGTTGAGCATATGGTAGTAGAGTTGCAACTGGAGAAGCGTAGGCCGGAAGCCTGTGCTCTTGACAGTCGGTAGTGACCGGTTACCCTTCGTCTTCACGTCTGTCAAATAGATCCGGCGCAGGTTATAGACCTCTGCAGGTAGTTCCGGCTCAATGTGCCCCGTTTGCTCGACTTCATTCTGTCCCAGGTCCGAAAGCTTCATCCCGCCTTGCGAAGAAGAAAGCAAATAGTCCGACAAGGACATCTGATACTCGGGCAGCGCAGCGCGCGACGCTACAACATCCGCATAGTACCCAGCAGCAGTAGCCTCAAGCTCCGAGTTGGGACACTCGTAAGACAACTCATCAATAACACCATTGACAAATTCCCCATCGACAATGCCCCAAACTTCCAGCTCACGCGTAACGCCATACTCGCGCAGCATACGTAGTCCCTGGATAACATTCCATATCCTGAGACCCCAAGCATCCTCTTTAGTCGTGACTTCCACAGGAACAGTAGTGTATATCTCATCCTCGAGCGTCTTGTGTATGGAGCTTCCCTTCTTCATCGCAGCAGTCGGCTTCTTCCGCCCATGTTTAGTCAACGTGAGCCAGTACTGCAGCTCGCACCAAGCTGGTGAAACGAGATCAGTCACCGAAAACGCTTTGTTTGGTGCTTGTCGATACCGTTCGACGGGGGTTCGAGTATCGAGCGCCGCGGCGGTGGGATCCTGTTGTATCCATTCTTGCTCGCGCACTGCGTTGCGCTCGCGTTCTCTTTCTCGGCCCTCGGTTGAACTAGGATTTTCGACTAAACGCTTCGGAGAAGATGTTGTCAGCAGAATTCGGTTATGTGATGCAACCAATCCATAAAAAAAATATGGACGATCAACGGGGGAGGGGATGGGAAAGGGTAGAGATGAAAAGCATACGCAAAGCATACCAAACGGGCTGTTCCTGTTGCTGTTGCAAGCGCGCGAATTTGACATCCCCCTTGCACTCGCATTAGCACCCCATCTAACCGCCTGACCTGATTGAGGCTGCGACTGCCGCCATGTCGAGCGAGGCCATTCCCGGCCCAGCACCTTAGGCAACCGAACGCTGGGCTCAATACCATCCTCGATATCCGCAACGAGTGCCTCTGGAGCTGCTGGTCGCAATGACTCGAGATCGGCGAGTTCTGGGGATTTTGGCGCGGTGATCTGTTCGACGGGCGTTGGGGTCGAGATCCAGGTTGTCAAGATCGAGGTGGCGTCGGCGTTGGCGGCGGTCGCATGTTCCGTGATAGCTTTGTTCAGCAAATTGTTTAACAGATCCTCTTCATCTGGGGTGAAGTCGGATCCGTAATCAGAGTCATCTTCCATTCTCTCTTGGCAGGATATGCCTGCGACTGGAGGGGATCATATCTTGTAGAGTTGATGTTCTGGTGCGTCATTGCGTGAGGGAGCCCTGGAGCCTTAAAATCCCGTTGTTCTTACTGGTTGGCCATTACATACTTGATAATTGTAGAAAATATTAGATATATAGACAAATTAGCAAAAGAGACTGAAGTCCATTGATCTATGTAATTCCTCTTGGTATCTTATGCATCGCTCCAAAACAAAAAGAAAAAGCATCCCCGCCAATATTCGGCAGGGATCTATGAATCTATATATCCACCTAACATCAACTGTACTTTAAATCTACTTCCCATGCATTCATGCAGTCCCAGCAGAGATCATATTCCCCCCAGAAGCAGCATGCAACGCACCCATGCCCTCTGCTGCAGCAAGTGCCTCAGCAGCTGCAACCTCCTTAGCAGCCTTCTGATTCAACCAGCTCAGATAGGTCTGCCAACCAACCGCAATACCCCCGGAGAAGATGTTCCGGAACTGCGGCGGCACATACATGAACATGAACGCGGTAACAGCCGGCCAGAGCTTGACGCTGTTTTGAATACTAACGGGGAGAGCCTTCTTCACGCGCTCATAGGTCTCGTCGAGCGTCGCACCAGCAAGCAGGGAGTGCATGCTAAAGAAGTATGTATTGAAGATTGGTGTGAAGCACGTCTGCTGCACGACGACCTTTGTCAGGATCGAGAGGACCTTGCTCGGGTAGTTGAAATGATTGCCGAGGAACAAGAACCTAGCGAAGCGGTCCGTCAGTTAACAGGTACATACACATATCTGTATGTCGCCCACATAGTAATGGGAGCAACCCGATAAGAAGCCATTGATCGCATATCGCATATCGCATGACCAACCGCATCACAGAACATACCAGTTATAAGACGGAATACTCGACCCAGCCCCAACACACAAATGCCGCAGCGTCCTAAGCGGATCATACCCAGCGCTGACAGTTTCCCCATCCCCGCGCGCAACGATATCCCCATCTTCCGAGTCCGATACTGCAGGCGCAGGAACCTCCGAAGGAAACAACATCTGTGCACTCAGATCACCACATAGGTAAATAACAATCGAGCTCCAGAACTGCGTCGTGTACGGCTTGCGCTCCTGTGCGCGCGCATACCATCTTCCAAACTTCCCCACCGGACTGGCACTTATCACCTGGCGGAATCCGCGGCGCGCAGGTGTGGTTATTGTTCCGGTTGCAGCAGCCGAGGCGGGGATATTGTCTGGCAACTTGGGTGGATGTGAGGGTGTTGTATCTCTCTCTGGTGTCTTTCCTGCAGAGGAGTCGGAGTTGTATCGGCGTTGTGAGCGTGGTTGGCGCAATAGCTGGGGTTTAGCTCTGGGGGTTATCGGTCGGTGGAGGGTGGAGGTTGAAGGTGAGGTCGAGGCCCTGGATAGGCCATTTCTGACTAGGCTCATGACTGCGTCTGGTTATTTACAAACGGAGAATAGTTGGAAGTGGGAGTTTTTTTTTTTAAAAAAAAGTGTCAGGGATTAGAAAACAATGCGCTTGAAGATCCGATCTCGGGGGTGCGATAAGAGCCGAAGAGCCCGTGGGCGGGTGAAATCAGCGCCGGATGCAGATCCGATTGGATTTACTCTATACAACATACATAGAAAGACTGGTGAGAAAACTGAACTTAGTTGCAAACTGATAAAAATGTATTTCGGTAAAATTCAAACTCCGGCTCTATACAATGCATCCCATAAAAACATTAGTCGGATGAAGTTGCCCTCAGTATGATATGAACGGGTATCAAAGTAAAAACAAACGCATAACATGCAAAGGAACTTTTTGTAACAGAGAAGAAGGGGGGGTCAATAGAAACTATGATTATAACGACACAGGCGAGTATAGGTGTGACAAACCCGGGCAAGTGGTAGGATAAGAGGGGGATATAGACAAGCTGCTCAGCAGCCTCTTATTGCTTGAAGGAGTCCCGAGTGTGAACGAGGTCAATATCGTAGGGGTTTCCTTCGTAGGTAGCCGAGCGAGACAATGAGCCACCAGTGCGGTTGGAAGCGACAGATTGCGCATGGCTGCGAGTGCGTTGCGTCTCAGGGAGTTCCTCCGCACCGTCTTGGGACTCACTGGAGAGTGAGCCTTCGGGTGCAGCCTCTGTGCGGTCGTACTCCACCTTCTCCTCTGCCGGTGGCGCTGTAACCTGCTCCTGAATCTTGCGCATGAAAGCCTCGGACTGGGCGGCGAACTTGCAACGGGTGCGGATCGCGGGTCCGTACTTGTAGAACAAGAATGGGAAGGGCACGCAGGCCAGCGCTAGGAAGGCTGGGATCGATGATGCCCAGTGGATACCCAGGTTCTCATACATGTAGCTAGTGAAGAGAGGGAAAGCGGCACCGAAGAGGGAACGGATAACAGAGTTGGCAGCCAGCACGGAGGCGGCGAAGATGGTGTAGGAATCAATGAGATAGTTCATGATGCTGAGGAAGACTAGGACCATCCCAAAGCCAAAGGGAACACCGGCTGCGATGCTGGCCATGAAGTGGATTGAGGGGTAATTGGTCCACGCGAACCAGAATAGGCCGATTGGGATTGCAACGGATGCGAGGAGGCAAGGCGGCAGACGTGCCTCCGGGGGTGCGAAGCCCTGGTGTTTGTTGGATACCCCGATATAGCGCTTGTTGTCCCAGACGGAGTAAGCGACGGCAAACAACATGCCAATCATAATACCGAGGAAGGCGAGGCCACCAACACCCTGGTTCCAGCCGCGGTACTGCTGGTAAACAATAGGGAAGGCGGCGAACATCATGTACAAGGTACCGTAAACAATAGCCATGTAGAGAGATAGCAAGAACACGATAGGCTCCTGGAATAAAAGAACCCAAGGACGGGAGAGTGATACTTTGAAAGACTCCTTGAGAGAAGGTCTACCTTGGTCGATATCAAGCTTACTCTGGTAGACATTGCCCGACAACTTGGAGAGTCTCTCCGCACGGCGACGGAGAAGCACCGGCGCATAGGTTTCGGGGATCAACAGACCACCAATGATCCAGACCGTACCAGAAAAGACGGCAAGGAAACCCATGACCCATCGCCAGCCGCCGTCACTCATACCGATGAATCCACCCGCAATGGGGCCGATAATCGGGCCAAGGAAAGGTGCAGCGGCGAACAAACTCATAGCGATACCACGCTGCTGAGCGGGGAACATGTCCGCAATGACACCACCGGCGTTGGTCAAAGGCGAGGAACCAAAGGAACCAGCCAAGAATCGGAAAATGATAATGGACCAGGCATTTTGCGAACCTGCGACACCGGCATTGAAAGCTGTGAGAGCAGCATAGGTAGTAACGAACAGGAGTTGGCGGCCAAACAGCTCACTCAGTGGAGCCCAGAGCAATGGTCCGATCTATATAGCAACATAATGTTAGTATATATGTAAAAGCAGATTGCGCAAGCTCAAGAGTCAACGTCTAGAGAGTGGGAGGTCTTACCGCGAAACCGAGAACGAAAAGCGAGACACCGAGAGTGGCAACTTCTTGCCCAATGTCAAACTGCATCATGATCTCTCGAAGACCGCCGGTATAGGCAGACGAAACCAGTGAAACGGCCAATGTTGCGACGGCCACCATCATGGTAAGAGTCCATTTCCTCACCTCGCTGAAGTTCATAGGATTGCGGGGATCGTTGGGAATCCATGTTACTGCATAAGGGTCCTCTTCCGTTCCTGAACCGGGGTATGGGTGATCAATGATCTCTTGCGTGACGACACCTTGGTCAAATACCATGCGCCAGAATGGGATTTTTGTTGGAACAGAGGACTCGATCTTGTCCGAGGCAGGTGAGTCTGCCATGATAGGCGCAGGTGGATTGTTGCGACAGTTGATAGTATTCCGAGGTATATAAAATGGAGTTGAAGCTCAGCGGGGAGGGGCAAGGAATGCCGAGGAAATATTCGACAAGACCTCGGGAGGGGCCTCTCGGTGATATATAAAGGGGATAATGTGTCTATGTGCAGATAAAGTACAAAGTGGAATCCACTGGGATAGGTGGGCCCCGGACCCGGACAGGGTATCTAACCCGAATGCAAGTCCGAGGGTTGGAGATCTGGACCTTCCAAGGTCTATAATTTTGGGCATATTTTTCTTCTATATTACTTTCATACTGATTTGCTCATATCTATATCGATATACTTCTGTGAATTAACGACTATAGTACAAACGACACGACTTTTAAGGAAATGCAGCGGCTGAGGGCTGGACATAACCGATTTTTGCTACCTGTTTGCAGCCACGTTTTTACGCCACGTGATTTATGAACGATTTATGTCAGGCTACTCGGGTATGCGGCATCGATCTGATTGGTCCACTTGACCTAGGATTTTAAACCCGTGGGACTTCCTGAAGGTATCCTCTTAGCAGTTCTAGTCTCATGGAGACTGTATCTGAAATTGTGTATAAGTAAATAATGCCATAACTTCCGGGGTTTGGCCATCCATAACCCTTGGATCTGCCCATATTCGGATGTTCCGCATTGCCAAGTGGACTTGGCAGCTTACGAAGCTTCTTTAATCCACGCCGAGAACAGATCTAAAGTTCCATCGGAGCTTCTGAGATAATCTCCGGTGCACGTTCATAAATAGGGTTTATGACTTATGGCCGAAACCCCATGCACAGCCCTTCATATATGCATAGTATTGTGATTATCAATCATCGGGAGCCCCTAGTGCACCTACAATAATGAATGGGTGGAGTTATTATGCCCAATATAAAATTTGCAATATTTTCTAATTTAGCCCCCGTTGGGTATCCAGAACAAACCCAGGGTGCAACTGCCGAAGTCAACAAAAATTTTGTACTTGTCTCGGGACTGTCTTTGAAATCACCTCCGAGCTAGGCATCAGCGTGTTTTGTAGATATATAATCAAGATGCTAGTCAGGCCATCAATACCCTCCGACAGCACTGCCCAGGTTGTACTCTAAACTGGCCATATCTAGATCCTTATCTTTAAGGAAAGCATCTATAGATCGCTCAGGCCACATGGGGCCATAAAAGACCATGGCCAATATTGGGGCTGTCACATTGGACACGTACTCGAATAATGTGATCACAGGTATCTCTAGACCCGATCCATTGTGGCTTTGATCAATCAGTTATCCACGGATGTACCTTCAAAAAAAAAAAAATCTAGACAAAGTACATGGATAAAAATGCAAAATGTCCGAGGCTTTCCCGCGTGTCCATGAAACCACCTGGGTGGCTTGCAGGAAAAAAAAAAAAACTAAGGAGAACCAGGGAAATCGAAGTCACTTCTACAAAGTACCGAAGCTAGAATTTTCCATAAGTCTTGGCTTTTTTTTCGCCTCAGGCCAGTAGCTGAATGTGGATCCACTGAGATTGTGTACATTTGCCACAAGACTATACTGTCTTGATCTTGGTACCCAAGATAGTTATACGCGTTATTTGATATCAGTAGATGTCCCTCTGATTCAAATACTTGAATCTCCGATTTCAAAACTATTCCAGTCTTGTTGACAGTAAGATCAAGGAAACAAAACACGCGTTCAAGTCACTCCGTCCCCACTTACAATCAGCATGACAGCTGGGTTAGACACCTAAACCGCTATCTGGTTCAGCCCTGCAAGTATATAATGGAAAACATAGCACCAAATAGATCACCTGCTCATAAGTCCATGTACGAAGTATCAGACCATGTAATCTGCAGTGTCCTGAAAACACGCTCCACTTACCTCTCGTTTGACTGATTGATACGAAGGGAAATCTATTCATCTGTCTACTTCCTTGTTCTAAGTTGAGGCTCGGTCATCTGATACTACCCTACACGGATAATCCTGATTTATTCGGAATCTTCCTCGTGGTCTGAAGGGTATTGAGTCATTCTGATATGCGGTACAGGTCTACCAATGCACTACCCTACAGCCCTGCAGTCTTTTATGACGTGTTGAGCTCGTTGTGACTCAATCCCAGTCAATTCGCCGTTTTTTCTTTGGAGGTGCTTGCGTGGCGATTGGATTCGGGGTCTGATCGGGTAGTATGATGGATGCAGTATGGTTGGTGTATGAACTAATTGAACCCGTGTTTAATTCTCTTGTCGTTTTATTGGTTATGTTGTTGCATTCTCAAATGTGATTAGAGACTTCCAATTCCTAGGATAATTGTTGGATCAGCGTTAAGTCAATGTGAAGTCATAGTTGCGTCTCAGCCAAGTTACATACGTAGTTAAGTCCTAAAGTAGTACAAGCAGATTGCCCATGTGCATTTTGCTGTTTTCTCCTTTCCAATCTGAAGAGTTGACGTCCGTTATATAATTATAGAAGTCTCGTAACTACTTATATCTCTTTGTTGCGCAATGAGAGGCTACCTTCCGAGAAGATTCGAGGTACGATAGCTTCACTTAATTTCATGTTGACTTGGGGGAAATCATGTCTAGAGATGAAGTGGTTTATTATTGCTGGTGGTCAGATAATTACCTTCTCGTTTTGGATAGTGTTGTTTGGCATTGGTACAGAGGGGTCACCGGTTTGGGTTGGGTGAAAGGGCATCTTGCGACCGAGTTTCGTCTGACGCGAGACAACTCAAAAGAGAACCCAAACAAAGACGGAAGCACCTGTCGCGTCGAAAGGCTGAGCAGACCAATAGATACGGAGATACGCCGGTTACGGGTAATTAGTTTACTGTTTACGGAAGGAAGAAGGGAATTTTGAATCATAGAAGACAGCATTAAAGCGTCCTGTCATGAGATGATGCGCGCTAAGGCATCATGTTAAAGGGAGGCCCATAATGTACATGCCCATGACTGATCCATCAATCGATGGCTAGCTGTAGCATCGATAAAAAAGCAAAATTGCGAAGCAACCCGGTGCCGAAACCCATTGATATTTGAAAGCAAACCCATCATGTATCGCCAGTAGTCATGATAAAAAGATAAAAACAAACCCCATGATCGCCTTTCAGAAACCCAGCTCGTTGAAAATGAAAAATTACGAGCGCTCGCCACGGAGACGGCGGGCCAACTGGATGTCCTTGGACTGGATGGTGACACGCTTGGCGTGGATGGCGCACAGGTTGGTGTCCTCGAAAAGAGAGACGAGGTAGGCCTCAACGGACTCCTGGAGAGCACCGATGGCGGAGGACTGGAAGCGGAGATCGGACTTGAAGTCCTGGGCGATCTCACGGACCAGACGCTGGAAGGGGAGCTTGCGGATCAGAAGCTCAGTGGACTTCTGGTAGCGACGGATCTCACGGAGAGCGACGGTACCTGGAGATGGAATGTTAGAAGATGTTCCAAAGGATGTGTGATGTATGCCATGTGCGGCATGAGATGGAACTTACCGGGCTTGTAGCGGTGGGGCTTCTTGACACCTCCGGTAGAGGGGGCGGCCTTGCGGGCGGCCTTGGAAGCGAGCTGCTTACGGGGAGCCTTGCCACCAGTGGACTTACCTATTTGCGACAGTTAGTAAGATGTTTCTGACCGCGTGAACGCGTCACCAGATCCTTCGGCGCGGAAGCCTGACTAATCAGGCGTCGACGACGTGGGAGAAGGGTGAAATATTAAATATATAATAAATACTTACGGGCAGTCTGCTTGGTACGAGCCATCTTTGATGATAGACTTGATGTAAAAGGTTGTTTTGTTGATGAAAGAGTTGGATGGATGTAAAAGGGAAGAGAGAGGAGGGTGGGGGAAGAGTATTTGTAGGAGACGGGAGGGGGGAATTGATCTGGAAGGGGAACCACGAATCAGGGGGGAGTGAGCCGATCAGGATCAGTCAGGAAATCCAGTGCGTATGACTGGGGACTGCGTAGCGTGTAGCCCAGAGACTGATTTGCGGTGAGTTCTGATTGGTCAAGCTAGATCAAAGTGCTGGTACTGCCAACTAAGCGAGTTCTAGACCAATGAGAGCCCAGGATCAGGGAGTATAGAATGTCCAACCCTTGAATTCTTGATCTTGCACCCAACCACCCTTGAATGAATAGTTAAGGCATTCTGATGTATTCACCACTCTTTGGAATGTATAATTATACTATTTTAATTGTAGATTTACATTGTTGGTGGCGGATTATAGGAGGATCAAAGATGGACCACGCCAAAGTTGGCGTTCCGACTCTGGGGTCTCCCGGTAGATCAAGGTTGGTCTGTGATCCTGCCCTCTCATTGGCGGACGCCATCCCTAGCGCGTGATTTCCCAATCCTCGCTGATTCCCGTATCATACAAATATCCTCTGTCCACTTCTGTTTCCTTTCCCTCTTTTTCCATCAATTCCACCGGTAATCTCTCAACTACCAACTCCTCTTCATCCCACTTCTACAACCCCTTTTTCTTTTAATCCATATTCAATATGTCTGGCCGTAAGTTACTACCCCACACTTCTACTTTAATAAACGCGTTCTAACGCGTCTCAATTCAGGCGGCAAGGGTGGAAAGGGTCTCGGCAAAGGTGGTGCCAAGCGTCACCGCAAGATTTTGCGTGACAACATTCAGGGAATCACCAAGCCCGCTATCCGTCGTCTCGCACGTCGTGGTGGTGTCAAGCGTATCTCCGCTATGATCTACGAGGAGACCCGTGGTGTCCTCAAGACCTTCCTCGAGGGTGTCATCCGTGATGCTGTTACCTACACTGAGCACGCCAAGCGCAAGACTGTCACTTCTCTTGACGTTGTCTACGCTCTCAAGCGCCAGGGCCGTAAGTTTTCCACGTGTCTTCCGATTCCAAAACGCGTCTAACCTTCTTTTCCAGGTACCCTCTACGGTTTCGGTGGCTAAATTATTTGTGCTTTTCTTTTCCGGGCTGGTTCACGGTACGATGGGACGTTGGGGTGTTCTCTGATTTATTTTACTACAATCATCATGGGTCTCTGGGTTTTGCTTTTCATAACACTCGATTACCACTATTGCGCGTCCATAGTGTTCGCTTCTGAGCTTTTCTGTATCATAGCAGCCTCTTTACATTACGGCTGGCACCATGGGCATGGTGGGATCAAGCACTCAAGTGCGATCCGATACGAATACAATCAAAACTTGAAATAATTTCGACTCTTTTGGATTGCAGGTAATATGTTTGTGTAGTAGATGTCTTGTTTCTCAACGAGTTTGTTTGCTTGGCTTGTGTTATGGTACTTGGTACCCTCTTCTTGGTGGTTGGGGCTCCGTCGTTTGGATGTTTGTCCATGTGTAGTCGAGGTCTTCATGGCTTGGAGTTGCTTGACGCGTTGTTTTGACTGCCTGAGGCACCTCTTCCAGCGTTCAACATCAATCCCCCCATGTAACTATTCCAGGGTTATGGAATTTGTTTAGATCTCTGTCTTACTGACCAGGTACACCTAATTTTTATGACCGACTAGGAATGTTTATTTACCCTATGCGTGCTATCGCTGTTCTTTTTCTCGTACTTTGATGATGTGCATGGATTACCATGTACGCATGTCTATACATCCCAACTTCATGTTTTTTAGTATTTTGCATTTGATTTGTATGTCTAGTCAACTTTAATGATTACTTGTGGACCATACTTATTTGGTGTAATCTGGTGTTAGAGGTTATCCTATGAGTATATGGAGTTGTAGTATTACAGATATCTATATCTATATATATATATTAGAGCCAATATCAAACTGAACTCTCAAGCAACACATTAAAAAGCATTAGCCCCATAAAAATTGCATGCAAATAGAATAGACATGTTAATGATTGCCCAAATTTTCACATTGAACCCATGTAGACCACCATCGTGGCATGGCGAGCAAAACAATATAAGTCGAAGTTGAACCCCCTAAAACGGAAGTTCAACTTTCCTTGGCATCATGTATAGTAAGGAAGCTGGAACGCCAAGAGGAATTAAACCGCCAGTCCCCTCCCCAATTTCCCCACACAGAGATACAAAGAGATATAGAGAAAAGAAAACCGGCAACTGACTGTCTATGCATACCAAATCGAAAGGAAGGCGCGATTTGTAGGGCAGAAATACAGACCAAGCAGGCAGAGCAAACACCAATCCGCGCGATTGCTGTCACACACGGAAGGATGTAGACAAACACCCCCTTCAACCTACTCTTCAATTTTCCCTCTATTCATCACCCTGCAGACAGATTTATCAATAACTCAAGCCCACGAGTGAGTCTGAACCTCCCACACAGGGCTCACCACCCTCTCGTATCTTGTCAACATGGAGAAGAAGAAGAAGCTATCCGTCCCGAGAATCCGACAACCGGAACGTGCAGCCAAGGAGGAAGAGGACTAAGATAAAAACACCACCAATGGACTCCTCCACGCCATATCAAGGTACCCGATCCGTCTGCAGAGACCGGAAAAACCACCAACAATACAACAGCGTCCACCTCGACCCCAGATACAGTGACCTGACTACCGTGTGCGAAGATGATAAATACGCTGTGCACAAATGCACAGTCCGCCCACGATCAGCCTTCTTTGCCAAAAACATGTGACAATGGGCCGCAGGTGAGATATCAAAGGGGCAGAACAATACAGCATGGATTGTTGCATGTTTCCTGACTCGACCAAGGAATCATCCACAAACAGGGTCACATTATAAGAAGAGCCACTTCCATCAAAGGGATGACTGAGCATCTCTATCACCTAGACTACAAGGTGCCACTTCACTGTCTAGAAACAGACGTCCTCACTCGGCTAGACAACTACACATCGGACACGGACACGGACACCACGCAGACCCCCAGTGAACCAGTTGAAGATCCGGCGAATAGGGTTGATCTTATATTGGTACACATATTGATGTACACTCCCACAGGCCGAATATTAATTGAGGGGATGAAGGAGCCTTCAAAGGATGATCAAGGTCTGCGAGACATGGTTATTAAAATACCCATGGATAATTCCAAGGAGCTGAAAACAGCGCAAGTGGCACCCTCGGCTTTCCCAGAGAGCTTGGTGAGATCTACCCCACAATATGCGTCTGACTCGGCCGTGGTAATTATAGAAAGGACGGTATCCAACTGGCAAAGCTATGAAATGTGCAGGACAGACTGGAACGAAGACTACTAGCCGTGAAGAAATACACCAGAATGTTGAATCGACACAAGCTAGAATTGACACAAGGAATTGACTTATTCCACATCACCATGCAATAAACTCGCAGACAAGGCAGTTGAATCTGATGTTACACAGATTCATGAACAGATCACCCACGTGGGAACCAACCTGTTAGTCCCTACACCCCAGACTACCACTACAACAACTATCTACTAGCATGACCATGCTTACACCACCACTAGACCGAAGACAGCAAATAGACAAGGGAAAAGAAAAAGAAATTATGGCACCTATAGGCAGATCTGGGCAAGTCTGGGATAGGGCACCAGAGGTATCATTCTGACCACAGCAAGACGACGAGTGAGATTATTGAAGTCAAGCCTGGCTGCCCCAAATGCTTCGATCAACACACAGCACAAACAACAATGGAAGGCACACAAATCTGAATCCTGGCAGACCAAATGTCGACCCTGTCATGACCTTACCAACCAACCCGCGAGACATCTGCCAGTCCACCCAGCCGATTATTGCCGAATCCTCTCTACAGATAGCCCCAAATGCCCCCAGAAATGAGTCTTGATCATTGCGAACCAGTGGACGAACTATGCGATACGGCGAGAAAATCGGCCAAAAGCGACACTACAAACAGTCGAAGGACAGTAGGTCAACACGCTGGAGACTGGTTTGGGAATGCACCTATGGATAACGGAATGAAAAAAACCGATAAGGGATAGTAGTAGCTCAAACCAAGTGAATTATATCTGTGAATATACAGACACTGGCCACTCCACTACAATCCATGCCCCATAACAGACCAGAATTGACAGAATTGAATTCCACGACATCTCATCCCAACATAATATGGTACACAAATGCAGCAATTATTGAGATTCCATAGTCCCAGCTTCTTCAATTACATCCACTCACATTGCACTATGCATCTCGAGGTCTCTTCTTTTATGGCGCAAGAGGCGCCAACGACCCACGGAACTACATGTACAGAGTATGTGCTCCTGTTTCTCCCACTAAGGTGGATCAAAATCGTAAGTCCTCGATACGGACATGCAGGCCTCGTTGTTCACCATACATGTTGATAGGCCATGGCGACTCCCCCACCACGTCACAAAGAATAGCCACATACCCTGTAAATGGTCTCTACACGGAGTACCTAGCGTCACAATGGTTCTCTCGCTGATGTAGTGATGTAGCCTAATAGTCGCACTAGGCGTCTAACTCACTCACAGACGCAAAGCCTATCCTACTAATAATAATCTAGTACCCGCCGTCATTGAAATACCTCTATATGGCGACCAAAGGCTATGGCGCAATATTTCAAAAGTAGCATGCGTGCAAAGAGTAAAGAATTTATTGTAGTAAGAAGAGGAAAAAGGAAAGGAAAAAGAAAAAAAGATAGACATAGCATGTCCTGGTTTCGATCCAGGGTCCTATTGCGGGTTAGTTTGATGTTGTTGGGTGGAATTGTTGGCGGTGAAACGTACCTCCGGGTTATGAGCCCGGCGCTCTTCCCCTGAGCTAACATGCTGGGATGTTGAATATTGGCTTGATATTTGGGTACATTCGCCAAGGGAGACAAAGCAACAGTAATGTAGCAACACTCCTATTAGATTGTACACCAAAGCTCCAACTCACGAGTCCACTCTCCTGATCAGCTCAAGGTCTTAATCAAATAGCTGGGTATATATTATGGAATCTGTGCAAAATTGTTGATTTGTGGGTGTGACGATCCAGATGTGTAGGGATCTTTTTGGTAGAAAGGATTCTGCCATGCGTCGCCGCCTAGGTGTTTGTTGAAGTGAGATGACTAAGCGAGAAGGCTGGTGTTTGCAGTGTTTGCATTCAGAGAGAGAGATAATAGCTCTCTCAGTCTCGCAGGTCCTTCTCTCTCTTTCTTTCCTTTTCTCATGTTTAGAATTCTAGTTGAAATGCACTCTTTTTCCTAAAAAGATCTGGCTGGTAACAGTGGGGGTCTATTTTACAGAGAAATTGCCTTGGATATGATAGGTTCTATATGAAGGGCTATATCATTACCATCGGATAGGCAGTTGTTGGTCATCTCTATTACCTTGTAAAGTTACTTATGTGGTAAATTGATACAATACCCTATACTATAAGCCGTCGCCATCAGGGACCAAACCTGTATCGACTGGACGCCACAATGCCCAGTATTTACCTTCTCTTTCCTGTTCAGGAAATACCGGTGCCTTGTAGCTTGTTGCCTCGTTCTCGGGACGGTATCCTACACCAACCTATAGGCTAATTGCGATATATGGTATCTAGATTAACACTGTTGCATATTTCTATTGCCTGTGGTTCAGAGAATGTCAATGTAACTATACATTCTTGTGTCACCAATAAACATGGTACGAAAACGACTCTATATCTACCTGTAGGTACTGGCCTTTCACTGTATATTGTTAAGGACCTAGCAGTTGGGCTCCTATCTAACCCCCTGGGTCGGTTGTCTAGGATATTTCAAGGGTCTGTTAAAAGGACTATCACAAGCAACTGACCTGGAGGCTGGGTCATGGTGTGCTTGGCCATGGTGTGCTTGGTCATTGATGGGCTTCTAGTTTCCAATTATATACGGTGTAAGTATCAGATACCATCAGACATACATATGTAATTACAGGTGTACATCGTAATATCAGAGACATGTGGCATTCCGGAATGCAGGGATAGATCGTGGCTAGCTTCTAAAATTCTAGAATAACGTGCACATAGGCAACCAAGTAAGACATTTGCCATCCCTTGCTGGCATGAGCTGCATAGCCACAACTCTTTCCCCAACAAAGCTCCTTGAAGCCTCGTTTCTAAGACTTTCTGACTCAAGATGACGAAGCGGAATTTGTAAGTATACGCGGCTAGGATCTAAAGCACACGTGACATTCTTTTGAAATTGCCCAGAGGTGAGTCAGAACAATTAGTCAGTATTGCATTGGTCAGGATTGATGACCCCTAAATGACATCGGGATAATCAATAATCAGCCACAATCGGATATTCAGTGCGAAAAAAAAGCGAGAAAAAGACGAAGCAAAACTTGTCTGAATACGAATCCGAAAACAGGAGCACAGTCCTCCAATGTCGGCGATGCCCGGATGCCGGCATTCCGGGACGAAAATAGAAAGCTTCCAGAAGAACGAAAACAGCCACGCTTTACTAAATACAGCACTAGTGGCATGCACAAGCCACAGAAAATCCTTCTGGAACATACCAGAAATACCGAATACGATTACCTGCAGGCCGTGGCTGCTGCAAGTGCCGTATGGTAACAGGGCAAACCGGCAACTCGAACGGCGTACCGGTAGAACCGAGATGTGGCTGTGCACCCCTACCTCTTACGACCAATCATTTACATTGAAAAACTTTTCACTGCATTAGATTGCTACTAAATATGAACCTGCATGACAATCTCGCAGACTCATCGCTGAGAAACTCGTTTAGAGTGCTGACATATTTTTTTTTTGGTCGGGATCGCATGCCGGTGAAAATTTTTTCTCCGTGATCTTCTGAGTTATGCAGGGGCCCTCTCTTGGGTAATGGCAGGATTTGATGCCCAATTGAGAAGGAGATTATGTACCTTGCAAACAAGGATGCCTTCGGTACGCGAATCCGTCCTTCAGATCACTGCTAAAAAAAAACCCCCCCTTAGATCTACACATTCCCACTATAATCCCACTATATCTGAGTGGGCCATTGGATCTGGATACTTGGATCAGCTGAGGCTGGTTTGCCACTTCCCCGGACTCTGTAGGCCACGTTTTGGTGTGCCTCGAGGAATTCGCCAAGATCCCGCTGTCCGCGGAAAAAAGGGAAGATTAGGTGAAGGGCTAGACTGTTCGGCAGACACGGCAGACCCCGGACCCGTTTCGGTGTGTCCAGACCGAGAAAATCTCTTAGGCCCGAGAACATACCGGTCGGATTTACATTTGCGCTAGTGGATTTGAAAGGGAGATCCTAGGTCACATGGCATCTGGAGTATTGTATTATTGCTGCCTTCTGTTTTGGTGCCCAAGCTCTAAGAACGGGGTTTGCCGATGCTCGGTTTGGAGGGCCCTTGATCTGCGATCTGATACTCTGGGATTTTAGTGTCCAAGCCATATGCATATGCACGGTTGAAGGATGATAACGCTAAAACAGAAAATTTCAAATGTAATCCGCAGTACATGGCATTCTTACCACGCTACTCAAGGTCTTCCGCGTGCTACAAAGCCGCTAAAAAATTAATCTACAGCGATCCGAGCGCCAGGAAATATGATAATACCAAAATCAAAACCAATACTCTAGTTCGATACTGAATGTTATTCTGACTTTCTGAGTCAAAGAGAGAAACATACGATTCACATGTGATCGAGTCATCGAATCATCGAGCAATGTAGACCAGAAAATTAAGGCAATCAGCCCACAGACCATGTGACCATGATCTTAGCGCCTTGCGCATGAAATTCTTGTGTAGGGCATTTCCCGCCGAGCCTATGGCCGAAGGCAGAACTAAGTACAGGTGTAAGGCATGGGAAGTATACTCCGTACACGATGGCACCTCGCTTAAGATAAAAAAACAAAAAACAAAAAAACAAAACAAAACATGTGGTGACTTAAGATCCGGGGTCAGCTGGTCATCAAGTTTCCATAGACAAACAAGATCCATGGACCCGTGTCCAACTTTAGCTTATCATGCCATTGTGTGAATGGTCAGCTGACTATCGCGTCTGTTGAACTAGAGTGGAACCCGCCGATTGGCGCGTAGTGGGGAGACATCCCAAGACAATCGGAAGACAGTTGAGAGACAAGTGCTTCACAGCCACAATCCTAAAGTATTCGAGTGAAATAATGGGAGCCCGACAAAGAAGAATGTGCACCGTAAGGTTTCCCCAGGTGTTATGCAGGAATGCTACACCGTTGGGACGGCCGATTCGAACCACTGGACACCAGCCACATGGCGCTCGATGTGGCTAGTGTCAACAAAGAATCCTTGGGAGTATGTTTACTTGGACGAATAATAATATCTTTCGGCTGAACAACTCTCCGGATTTCCATTTCATATTCCTGGGCATTCTAACGAGTTCTGACTCACCGGAAATAGTAGATTAGGCCGAAGTGTCAATTCCCAACCAAAATTTATGCGAGATGGGTAAAACAAAGCTAAGGTGTGGCTCAGCCCTAAGGGTTTCTCCTCGGCATCTCCACCCCCATTTTCCTAATTTTGGCCCTGGTCACCCGAGTGCAAATCGGAGCTAGTCCTAGACTACAGCAGAAGTTTTTCTTTTTTTCTCTTTCTCTCTAAGCGATATGTAACCCTTGGCTGAATCATTCCGTCCAAAATTATATTTAATATGACTAACAAGTAACAACCATTGACGCCCAAACGTAGAATATAGACATTATGTAGTGGATCCGTGTGGCTTTTGTGTACATCCTGTAAGCCACAACTTCACAAGGGAAAGAGTCAACGAAGATCCCCAGATCAGATCAGTGGGACTGTAAAAAAAAAAAGCGTATTATTGTGATACGAATTCAGTCCCGATTCGGACTAGCCTTGAAATCGATAACATTTAAAAATAATTATTTTGATAAATACCGCTAATATGCACAATACGGTAAGATTATTGTTCGGGGAAGACCGACATCTCCAAGTGAGGTCATATAGTACAGAGTCGTGGACTCTTCTTTATTAACTCACTTCTCCCTCTTTCAACTTCATTGCTCGTACCCACCACAACTCTGACTCTTGAGATCATCATATCGAGTAAGATTTACTTTTCTCCGGTCGAGTCATTATCCAGTACCAAACTCACATCAACCATAGTCAACTCTATTAAAGTTCCAGCCCTTTGATATTTCCATTCGATCAGCCTCCCGACGTTTCCAGACTTCCCCAAGAGCACGGCCACAATTGCTCAGGAAATCTTAATCGGATCTTGTGCCGTCGGGTTCTATAAAGCCCGCCTTTCCTCGGTGGCGAACACTACCCACTTTCTGACGTCCCCAAACCGTGATAACATAATGCTTATGTACCCACGTAAGGGTCTCATCACCGATCCATACAACTCAGAGGACATCATCATACAAGACGACCAGTACCCACCTGATTTTTATCCCGAGAACGCCTTTCACTACGCTCAATCTCGCTTGCAATCACCTTTCCAGTGCCACCCCAGTGTACAGCTCTCCCCGCCGTCTTCTACACCTTCCTCACCTACTTTCTCCTCTCCGACCTTCTCGACTTCTTACCCGCAGACGTCTGACTCTCAGTCTTTCGGGGCTCCTTCGATGACCCCAGCGTCTTCATATAACCCGTCGTACGACATCCAGGGTTCTAATTCGCCTTCTCACTACGTGTCTCAATATCCTCAGCAATATTATACGCCCATGTTGGTACAGCAGCCTCTCGCCAGTAATCAGGGTTGGGAAAGCAACTTGCAGTTGTTGAGCCCTGCGCGTATCCCATACCCCGGTGTGCAAAAGAGATCTTCGCCCTCCGCATCCTCGCGCTCACTCCCCTCGGGGGTGCCAGCCAACAACTACCACCGCCGCTCCAACAGCTCCAACAAGCCACTCCCCAGCCCGGTGCAAACTCCCCTCCAGAACTCATTCCTTGCGACTCCCTTCCAACATTTCGATCCCTCGTCCCAAGATGGTCACAACGCCGAGGCCGAGTCTGCTATGAGAAAGGCAATTATGGACCAGCAGAAGTTGTCACCTCCGCAACAAATGCAGAATGACTACTCACTGGCTCCGTCGGTGTCAACAATGAGCCATAACTCGCCGGTGACCCCACAGACTACCCTCGACGAACTCGACGACGCATCCAAGTCGATGACCAATGGTGAGAATGGAATTCCTGACATTGATTGGGGAATGGACCAATACTTACGTTTCGACGCACCTCCAGAATATAACGGTGCCAATAATGCCATGTCAATTGGAGTTCCCAAGCTGAACAGAACCATTTCCGATATATACCAAGACGAATTATATAACCCCGCCATCATGGCAGCGCCCCAGGTGTCCAAGCCGATGGGACAGAACCACCTTAACCCGCGCAATTTTATTGCCGATCGTCTCCAAGCTGCCAACCAGGGACACATGTCTGCTCGTTCACAATCGCCTTCTAGCAGACGGGATCGTTCACCTTTCCGTCCCTCTTCCCCATTCGCCGGTGACATGAACAACAACGCTCTCCAGCAGCCTCAGATGGCTACCAGCATCCCCATGGGACAGAACGCTCTGAACGGCATGAACGGAATGAACATGGACCAGACCGCCAACACTGGAGACATCAAGACTATGTCCCCTAAGGATGCAGTCTTGGATTTCCAAGATGGCGATGATACTATACCTTTGTTCCCTCCCGGTCAGGGTGATTTCAATCTGGGTGATGCTCTTGGATTGCGACGCGATAATGGCTCAATGCGACCGATGGAAGCATTCCCTCAATATACGGCTCCCAGCATGGCCCAGCCACAGTTTGCATTCTCTGAACCCCAGATGCATCGTCGTCAGAGCAATCTCTTGCAGCAGAGTACCGAATTCCCTTCACTTCCAGCAGTGGAATCGACCGAGAGCTCGCCTCCAAGTCAAATGAACATGCCAATTACAGAGGGTATTCCCCGTCCCGCCAACACATCTTCGGATGCGGGCACCTACACTTGCACCTACCACAACTGCTCGCAACGTTTCGACTCCCCCTCCAGACTCCAGCGACACAAGCGCGAGGCCCACCGGCAAACAACCCCGGGCGGCCACCTTGTCAGCCGCGACACTTCGCTCCGCAACTCCCAGGCTGGCCCGCACAAGTGCGAACGCATCAACCCGTCTACAGGCAAAGCATGCAATTCCATCTTCTCCCGGCCTTACGATCTTACGCGACACGAGCATACTATTCACACCGCCGGGAAACAGAAGGTGCGTTGTCACATCTGCAACGAGGACAAGACCTTCAGCCGAAACGATGCTCTGACAAGACGTAAGTTCCCCCCCCCTTTACCCCTTAAGTTGATCATACACTAATTACATTAATTACAGACATGCGAGTGGTTCATCCCGAAATCGACTGGCCAGGCAAGCAGCGCAGGAGGAGAGACTGAGAGCGCCTTTGACGTCATCAGTCCACCGGATCGGCATACCGAACGTCATAGGTGGATCCACTTAGACCCCACCAAAAATCCGGGGCTTCGTCATCATGACGACATGGCTCCTTTAATCCTCATGAACTCTCTGTATCACTATTCGGATTCCGATTTTATTATTTATGTGTACGATTTTACGTTGATGATTTGATTTTACATGCGAACGCCCTTTTAGCATGGCTGGTGTGTTTTTTTTTTGTCTAATGGCTTTGGCCCCGGGAAACAAACAGTTTCGGTGTTGTACATTTCTGTTGTACATGGTGTTGCTGCATTTTTGACCCCCAGTACAGTGTGTCCCCTCTTGTACTATAGTACATTCCTCCAAAAAAATGTATATTAGCTTTTGGAAATGACATGAATGGAAATAATCAATCTCTCTCCACACTCCACTATAAATCTGGAAACGGTGAAACATACCCCTCCTCTTTTGAAACAATCAAGGGTCGAGGGATACACTTGAGTCCCTCGCATCCACACTTGCATGGGTGTTTACCCACTTAGGTCAGCCATCTTAGCTGCTCAACGCAGATCTATAGAATATATAGCAATATCATAAGTACATCGTGTACAATGTACATCGTCGACTCATTAGTGGACAAAAATGCTCCAGTATGCACCACGTTCAGGGTTATTGTATATTGCAAATTGCAATAAACTAATTAACATCCACGGGCGAGTCCCGATTCGTGCTGACCATACATTGTACCCCGTTATCCCAATTACCTGTTAATATCTATATACATTGCAAGAATTCCATGCCCCGATATAGGTATGATACCATGATTGCGTAGACACTCCATCCAAGAAAGCCTTGGCTCACCCAAACTCTGGCCCAATAAGCTATATACCATCCCGGTACTCGGTACTGGGATTGTTTGGGTGGAATGTGGGAATCTGGTTTTGGATTTAGGGTGTCGACGTAATATACAATATAGCAGGATCCTAACTCGGATCACAAGGTTTTGTCCATGTCTTTGTCCAGGTATGGAATTGCTTATTTGCGTGTACGGTTTGTACCCCCCCCCCCCCCCCCCCCAGTTTCCTATCTTTGACCGGGTACGTATCTGTGATCATCAACAATCAGATCATATTCGAGTTTATGTATTTCAATTCTTATTTGATATATAGTGGATAATCTAATACCCTATATGTCATACAAGTAAGCCACCGTATACATGTTTATATTAAAGTGATAGACAATAAATGATAGACATATACGCGGACCAGTGGCTTACTGTGGATCAATATTGGAGTGGGGGGAAGTCGGAAGGTGGGGAGATGGAAGAAATGTGGATGTGACTGGGATGAACTTGTCATTTGCCCAAGTCCCTGATTGTTGTATTCTACCTACTCTTGGTGTGATGAGGTGTTTTCTGTTGATTGGCTCTTTTTACTATTTCCGGTTCCCGATACTTCGTCCCTTGCGTGAGTGCCATACTAGATGTACACGTGATGCGGTATATACGGTATACCATTAGACATTCTATACTCCGGGCAATTTTAGAAAAAAAAAAAAGATTAATCGCACACCAGCCACACAGAATACCAATACCAAGGTATTATCGATTCTCAATCTGCCAATTCTTCCAGAGTTCAAAGTAACACCATGCCACCTGTGTACTCGACGCCTACAGATTTCGATCGGACGACACAGGCGTCCATATCACTCCACACACATACGTATTACGGTCGGTTACAACTATGAAGCTATGCAGCCTCACATGAGGTCGATATGAAGAAAAAGCCCGTCGATCTTCTGTTTCTTATATGTAGACAGAAAACATGTACGCGGGAGAGGCTAGGGATCTACTCTATAGTAGCTATTCGTGATAAATGTGGGTCTCGGGAATATGCCAGGCCCGAAAAAGCATGTTGACTTCTAAAGCTTGCACCCTAGCAGTCTTCAATTTACTACAATATTGCTATCTTGTCAAGTCTCTGCACAGGTTATGGCCTTTTTGCTCGCCAATAGTGGATTTCATAGTCTCGCACTATCCCTCGCTTATGCCAGCATCAAACACTTCAGGGTGGTCTTTGTTATCTTCCAACGACATCATCGCAACTCTGACTCTGCAGCCCTCGCTCGGATTTGGATCGGAGTAACTGCCTATTCAAGCAATTGTTTTGATGACATCCTCATTGTTGCCTTTGTCGCTACGACATCCGGTCAAACTGCCTCAACCCCCTGGCTCTTCCTGGTCGTATCAAACACATTTTCCCCCATCAAGTCGACATCCTCAGTCTCCGTCACTGCCTGATCTCTGACTGTTGTTTTAATTAATTCTCGATCCTGATGGGTCATCCTCAACATTGACCAAATCTCTTATTGACCTACAGATTCATCTTGTCCTTCATCCTTCCCTTTTTCGAGGCCTCGGGTCTTTCTTTGCTTTACCTATCTTGACAGGAACCACGCAAGCTCATTCTAGTAACCTAAGTTATCTATTCCTTTGCGATCATCGAGATCTTGAAATGTCTGCGGACTACAGAGGCTGCAAATGCCTAATGGAGGGATACGATCAATGTCTCTGCAAATTTTGCAATCGATGTGGGGGGTTTGGTCATATTGCCATTCACTGCAGAGGAAACTATCATGGGGGACAAAGTGGAGGGTACCTAGGGGGTTCACGTCCTACAAAAATGATGCCAATCAATGATCTTGATCGCACTGATAATCAGCTGGAAGTATGTGTCGTGTTATTCTAACGCCTTTCTTCATTATTGTTCTGACTGAATACACCAAGCCTCGGGATTCACTCAAAGCCCCAATGGTTATGGCTCAAGCGGTAACAGCATCGAGAAATGACCGCTCGCCAGAGATATCAGCAAGCGATGAAGTTCTAACTGCCAAGCGACGAAACTGGAGTGAGGTGTCTGGTGATCGAATTGAGACCCTGAATCTAGGACCCGTCGATAGGGCCTCTATCCTGGAGCATCTGCTTTCAAATGTGCGCCTCGAAATGAGCGAGAGGTACTCTTCGGTGCTCGAGGAGTATGATATTGCTAGAATTCTCGAAGACAGCCTAAGCCCAGCCGTGAAAAAGATATGTGAACAGGGCAAATTTGATCTTATCAGGCATGTTTGACCTTGAAATTTTAGAAGCAAGTTACTAATAAATCCATCTAGTCTCCTGGAAATTGGACAAGACCCAGAAACAAAAGAAGAAGCCGGCGTATATCTTCACATTCTATGGAGAGAGGATGAAATCACCAAACGATTCTGGCTTTATGTCGGACAAGCATGTGTGCTGTGTCTGAGAATCCAGAAACACAAAGATCCTAAACATCGTTGGAAGAATATGGGACTACATTACGCAGTGTGGGCCTCTGCCGTGGATATAAAATCAGCTTTTGTCACTCTAGCTACCCTCGACGCCCCATCTTCTACTCAAACGCAGCTGGTTCTGAACCTGGCAGAGATGTGGATGTGTCTCATATTCCAAACACTGACTTCCCTTCACTTAGACTCCTGGTTGCCGAAAAATACAACCCTGTGTGGTCGGGTAATCATCTCAACGTTGCATTGCCATTATGGCAAGGGTTCACAGATACCCAAGAAAACAAAGCTATCGCTGACGCAATTGGCGGCAGATCGACATTCCAGCAATACCTAGCATCTGAGGATTCAGTTATTCGGGCATGGGCGGAGCAAACCAGGGATGCGTTCAACGATATACGAAACTCACCTGACCCGGGGATCAGAAGTTACTGGTGGAATCTTCACAAAGAGCGTATCCTTACTGCACAGGACACCTGGGGCAAAAAGAAAGCTAGCATGGCTAAGCAGCATCTTGGAGGGGCCAAAGCTCTCGTTACATTGCATTCCGGGAATCATGGAGACCACCAAACCGAGGTCAGAGCTGGTAGTTTCAGGTTCACTGTTTCAAAAGCATTTGGGCTTGATCACCATGACGGCGATGAAGTTATTCTCCAATATCATCTGACACCGACTCCACACCCACACGCTTATGCTCTTTCTGCTTTGAAAACAGATCCTGCTACCCGCTTGGGGGTTTCTATCCGCGGACAAGACAGCCATGGGGGTTTTCATTGCTGGCTAAAAGCGACTGGAGAGTGCAATTTACGAAAAATGAACTCACTTGTGGACATTCTGGAAGGGTATTCTGCAGAGGAAAGTCGGGGGTTCAAGAGACGCTGGTTTGTTACCAAGTCTTTGAAAAGGCTAAGAAGTGAGCCTTCAGGGAGAAATATGTACACTTGATGTTACAAGACTAGAAATTTCAGAGTTCAGAATAGTTGCGCAGAATCCAAAGCATCCTTGCGGGCCGAAATTTGATTTCTTCGTCCAAAATTAATGTAGTGTATCCTGTATGTTGTCCCTGTTGGCCCAATGATCCTATGTTGATGGATTCAGGTCAGTTAAACCCGGGGATTTAACATACAATGACTTGATTGAGACAAGCGACGTCAAGATAAGCACGTGTATAGGTAAGAGCTTTGAGGGGGTTTCTATCAGTGACCTGCAATTTATTGGAGTTTATTGGGACAAGAAATAATGGATTGAATGAATATTCGCGGTAATAAAGAAAAAGAAAAAAAAAAAAAGATAGACATAGCATGTCCTGGTTTCGATCCAGGGTCCTATTGCGAGTTAGTTTGATGTTGTTGGGTGAAATTGTTTGCGGTGAAACGTACCTCCGGGTTATGAGCCCGGCGCTCTTCCCCTGAGCTAACATGCTGGGATGTTGAAAAGGCAGCCCATTATGTCATGATCTACGTAGTGATATGCTTTGCTCCTATTCCCATCCAGCTAATATTATACTTCCTAATTAGGAAATATTTTGTTTGCTTGGATAGCTTCTGCTATAAGATCCTCTGGACTTACCACCTGCTTCTCTCTCCTTCCTCTCCAACTTTGCTTTTGTAGTTAGAATGCACTCTTCCTCGTTGAATGAACTAGCACGTAACAAGGCCATGTTATCTGCGCGATAATAATAGAATACGAACGTCGGTGGGCGTATTCCGAAGAACGGTATAACGAGGCCTTTTTCGAGTCCTTAATCGAGTACATATAGAGTGAATAGCTCGACAACTACCTAGAGCGCTTTCTCTATGTCTGTATCTCGAAATACCTTTATCTCAATGAAATCGCAACCTCCCTCACCGAGGATACTCATTGGCTATCAAAACTTAGTTTATAGATATTGAACAATGATTTACTAGTCTTACTTTGTAGTTTTTACTGCGTAGTAAACCCCTAACTCGCCAAGGTCAAGCATAAAATTAACAACCAGGAGATTTAAAGGCTAACAAAGCAAGTCCCGCTACTTTACCGCTTACTCACCAATCGGATCTTAGTACGGGCTATTCAACTTACAAAGGAGGTTTACGAGAGATATCTACCGGAAGGAGTAGAAGGAAAGTGGACTAATCCACCTAATCTATAGCTGTAATTCGAAGGACACCTCTGAATTTCCTTATATTCATATTATTAAGGCTTACGGCGATAAGAAGCAGCTCGAACCATTTTTAGCGTTAGCTTTAGCATTTTTATATAGTGTTCATTACGCCCCTCCTAACAATCCCACCCTTCTCGTATAGGATCCCCTTCGTGTGCATCGTCGAGGTGCACATAACTTCGGGAGCACCTAAGCGACAGAGGCCACCCAGTCTTCCCTCGATTGCTGGGGGTGCTGAGGAAGCAGTTTGATACAGAAATAACTGTTGTATACCAGTATGAAGCAATGAATCTGCTGAAATGAGCATGTTTTTCTGATAAAAAAAGGTGGATTTTTTACTGTGTAAACCAGAGTTACTATGGTGGTGGCAGAATGTATGGCAGAAGTTCACTATGCAGGCGGTACTAGATTTTCAGGCAGGGAGGGTCCTATAACTACTATATCACAATGGATATTCGCACTAAAAGAAAAAGAACAAGAAAAAAAAGATAGACATAGCATGTCCTGGTTTCGATCCAGGGTCCTATTGCGAGTTAGTTTGATGTTGTTGGGTGAAACGGTTGCGGTGAAACGTACCTCCGGGTTATGAGCCCGGCGCTCTTCCCCTGAGCTAACATGCTGGGATGTTGAAATGCAGTCCATTAGTGAGTACATAACCCTAGACTAAACTACCATTTTAAATATTTTTGAACACTATAAAAAAGATACCATCCATTAATATAATAACCCCCAGCCAGGAATAAACACGGAAAGGAAAAAAGTAAAATTAAATATGTTAGTCTACATACGTAGAGCGTTAGGTGAAAAATCATCTAGTTATCTTACCAGGGGATCACATGACCTCTGCGGTTTGCTCCAAGTCTACATACTTAATAGGCATAATGGCCCTAATGCACTCGATATCTCCAGAGTTTGCTATTAAATCGCTCTAGATTTTTCTCCTCTTACATCCAGTATTAATCCACCATTAGAAAATAGTACTAATTTGTATACCGTGTAGTAATTTTATAGCATGCACCCTACTATTTTACTACTGCTACTTGTATTGTCCTTTAGAAAGTAATATTGCACTAAAGTGATAAATATTCCACCAATCAGCATGTTAGCTCAGGGGAAGAGCGCCGGGCTCATAACCCGGAGGTACGTTTCACCGCAAACAATTTCACCCAACAACATCAAACTAACCCGCAATAGGACCCTGGATCGAAACCAGGACATGCTATGTCTATCTTTTTTTTCTTTTTCTTTTTCTTTTTCTTTTTTTGCTTCTTGCCAGTAGGTATTTTTTGGTGCCATTAAATATGAATTCCTCTGAGATTCCACCTTTTTATATTGTAGATATAGCTCCATAGTCATTCCTGCTTGTCTATTTCTTCTTTTCCGTAGCTTTCAGGTGATAAGTAAGGCCCTGCTAAACAATTTGATTTTTACATGGAGGATGTGTTGGATATATATCACCTACTTATACCCAGGCGTCTAGATATTTTTAGTGCTTGATGGCGAATCTCGTTGACAACCCAAGTCTTCAAGACGCACAGAGAGATACATTGTAATACATTGTTAAACCACCAAAACAACAGTTCCAATATTCTTGCCCGATAATAGCCCTACATCTCCGACCCCAATGCCACTCTGTTCATCTGAATACTCCTATTTTGAGTGCATGCAGACATCACTCGACCCCACCAATCCATCGGCAAACTACATATGTACTCGAATACAACTCGGTTCCTGTAGTGCGGTGCAACTGCCTACTGCCTCAGGCCACCGACTATATAGCTCTACCACCAATACTATAGCTACACAGCGCAAGTACTTGGTCTATGTGCCTTGCTATCACCAGCACATATAGTATTACATCTCAAGTTTCATATGCTTGATTTGGTTTCCCCTAAAAATCCATGCGCAAATCCAAAAATGCCAACTCATCGCCAACTTGTTCACGATCATACTGGGGGAGGGGGATCCCAAAAGTGGGGGCGGAAATCCCCAAACAGCCGGTGTCTCCTATCTGGCATTTATATCCATCAAAAAAACATAAAGCCATCCAAATCGCGTGAATTTCCCGAGCATAAATGCAAACTGTTACCTACATGAGCCCGAATATTTTTGATCAACAAAATAGCTAGAGTCGCGAGGAAAAAGAAAAGAAAAGAGGGTCAGCCAACCTGAAACCAACCACCAGCCAACGCCCACCCAGCCCAACAAACCACCCCATACAGACAAAATGGGCCAAAAAGCCTCCATCCCACAGCCCGGCGCACAAATACAAGTTATCGGCGCCGGGCTACCACGCACAGGAACCTCATCATTCAGCCAAGCGCTAGAAATTCTCCTGAACGGACCGGTGTACCACTGCGGCACACAAATATCGATAGGCCCACCAACAGAGATAAAAAACTGGATGCCAATTCTCCAAAACTGGCTCAAACAAGATGACAGCACAAGCCGGGAAAAGATGCTCACCCTCCTGCGTCACCGGTTGGCCGGCTACGTAGCAATCACCGATTCCCCAGGCTCCGAGCTCGTCCCGGAACTCATGGAGCTGTACCCGGACGCCAAGGTCGTCTGCACAACCCGTGACCCCATCTCCTGGGAGAAGAGTATGCTCCACGTGCAGAGTTTGACTGGTGTTTGGTTTGCGCGTGCTGTTCTCCTGCCGCTGGACGGGTTGAGACATTTTATCCCGTATGGGTATTTGCTGGCTGCGCTTTGGGAGAGGCTGTATGGTGGTGTTGCTGGTCAGCATGGGAGGGAGACTTATGCGAGGCATGTTGCTTGGTTGAAGGAGGTTGTACCGGAGGATAGGTTGGTTTTCTTTGATGTTAAGGATGGGTGGGGCCCGCTGTGTGAAGCCCTGAGCATAGAGACTCCTGTTGGTGTGTCATTCCCTCGTATCAATGATTCGGAGGCTATCGAGAGGTCTGTGAATCGTCATTTACGGAGGGGCCTTACGCGATGGGCTTGCATATTTGCTGGGATTGGTGTTGGGGTGGCTGTTTTTCGCATGTGGAAGTGAGACGGGGTGAGATGGTCGTGTAGTGTGATTGAAGGATGAGAGGCAGCCATGTGGTCTCTTCCTTGGTTGCGGAGGTTGGTATGGGTTTGTGGGGGTCTTTGGAAGCTTTTGAGTGCCGTCAAACTTCAAAGTTCTAGCGACTCGCATGCCTTGAATGATGTCGGTTTCTTCCAGGTCCAGAAGGGGGATCGGGGAGACCCACCATGAACAAAGCAGTGATTCAATTTATACAGTCACTTACATAACCATCTGCACACTACCTAACTAGGTAGATTTATGATCTCTACGCCCATTGGAATGTGTTATACAAGATAAGAAACCGAAATATATTGCCCCAAATATTATACATAAAAATTCATATATAGCCGCCAGTTCATTAGCATAAGCCCGATATCATTGACGAGCCCGCTCGATAGATGACGAACCACTGCTTGCACGATCATTTCTTTCAAAGGTAGTTTCAATCTCTGTGTGAGTGAAGATCTTCCCTTGGGGGATAATGCGCTCCTCGCTGGAGTTGCTAGTCGCGCCAATTCTGGTACCCATGGTCCCATCCCCATTGCAGGTGATTGTATCCATAGTGATGCTGTTGGGATCCGTGGCCTTGGCGAATCCAGCTCGCGGGCCAGTGGTGTTGCTTGACCAGGGGGCATATTTCTTGCCACTGCTGTACTCGCCGATGAAGCGAGGTAGGAAGCGGGAGGCAATCGCCTTGAATGAAGGAATTGAGGCAGCGAATATGCCGATGTTGATTTCGATAACCGACCAGTACATGGCACCGCTGATGGCGTAGGTGGAGTCCTTCGAGGAAAGCATGGTAGGGATATAGGTGATTCGGATGATCGAGGAGATACAAGCGCTGATTGGAGCGTGTTAGCAATCGTCCAAGTGGAAGCACCAGGGTATACTTACAAAAGACCAAGACAGAGGATAAAGGCCAGGATAAACTTCTGTTTCTGAGGCATCTGGAGACTGAAGATTACCTTGATGGGCAAGGTATAAGTCAAGAGGTCGGTGACAATGTTCAGGGCGGCGTTGCATAGGTAGAATAGGTTGATGTTGACGCATTTTCCGGGTCCGGTGCCAGTCCAGGCCATGCTAATAGGTTGACATTGGAATGCGGCCACGAGAACGAATGATGTTGCTTGCGCCATGATAACTCCCATCATGACCCGGGATAGGCGAGTGAGATAGCGATCTCCAAGGCGAGTATAGAACCACAGGACGGAAGTTTTGACGAACCCAAGTGTTGCGAGATAGAACATTGAGCTCAGCCAGACGGCCTGGGAAGACGTTAGAAATGCAAATCTATACGAGAATGGAATCCGCAGCCTTACAAAAGCGTAGTCGGCCATCCCGGTTGGGTCGACATCTCCAATGTGTTGTCCAAGCCCATGTTTGACCGCTAAATGATATGAGCTTCTGCAAAGAGTCATAGGAAGCCAAGCTAGAACATACCGACAAGCGTAACGACAGCAAATGACCACGACAACATCTAGTTCCATTAGTTATAAAACATGTTGATGGTAGAGTCAACTTTTCTTACACAAGCGCCAATAATGAGGTCTGGAAGATGTCAGTATAGTGCTGGTAAAATAGATCTAGCATAATCCACTTACAGTCATCAACACCCATTTGGCCCAGGACAAAAATGCGTGAAAAGAGACGAAGAGCCAGAACGACGAAGACCAAGACGGCAAATGCTATAGAGATACCTTGGACCTTAGGGCCTTGAGAACCATTGCTACCAGCCATGACGAGGAAGGTGGAGGGATGAAACAGAAAGGAAGAAGAAAAAGAAAAAGAAAGACCGTAAATTGATGTAAAGGAAGGAATTAATCTTCATGAATGGCATAGACAGTCGTTTCACATGTTCATCTCACGGAGAATGGATGATACAAGGTTCAATTTGTGATTAACGAAAGCATCAAGAAGATGGCTAATGGCACCCCCGGTCTACAATTTATAACGAGATTTCTCCCCGATGCCCCTGGAGCTAGTGGGAAGAAAATGACTGTGCCCATCAGAGATGCGCATCGTGCATGGTTCTATTAGTCTCCGAGATCCACTGTATACCGCCAAGAAGGCCGTTGACGAAAAAAGAAAACATGGTAAGGATTGGCAAGGCCTTCCTCTTTTTACTCCGTAGACTAGGTACTAGGCCAACACGAGTCAGACGGGACAGTCATAACCAAGCATCGCCACCACTCGAGACCTTTGGTGATCTACTCGTGCTAAAATACGCATGCCGTATATGGAGAGGAGCGGCAGTTTCACGTTTCTTAGAGAAAAACATATGTTTTACAACATAGAAAGAGCTCTGGGGCGGGCTTTCTAGCGCTATGATTTGCCACCCAGACACGAAAATGCTGTCTCCAATTGTCGAGGTACAAATGTTGGATATGTCCAAACCCTGTTAAACCAAGTCCTGGGCCCTGTTTATTGGGCCCTTGGCTCTGGGCACAAGAAAGCATTGTATCTTAGCTCGCCGAAGATATCCACCTGAAGACTGGGGTGGGATTGGTTCGCACAGGGATGGCTAGTAGTCATGGGTCGCTATGTTCGATGTCTCGGAGACGATCATTGTGAAATCCCGACTATTGGAAAGTACCCAACCTTGAAAGACTGGACTATTACTCATGACTAGCAAGAAAGCAGAGAAAAAGTTAAACATGACTTGATAGAACGAAAGCAAAAAGAGTTCGTGGGTCTCGGAAGATTCCCCTGGAAGATGAGATGGAGAGATCTGATTTATCTTTATTTTTATGCTCATTGAGACGTCCGATGACGATCTTAATATGCTCCAGATTGGATACTTTGTACGAAGTATATCGTGCATCTACAGCCCTATATCCAAACTGACACAAAAAAAGGGGTAATTGGAGCGACTAGAAAACCAACAGAACATTATTTGGAAGATTTTATGAATTCTGCCAAATAATAAAAATAATCTTGATGGGAGTGGAGCTGAGCGATCTGCGCGTTTCAAGACCCCGAGATATTTTCTGCAAGCGCTCAATGATGGAGGAATGGATAATGGCTGGCCCCTAATGCACAGATTTGAAGCCATTATGTAGCTCACCTCCGATCTGCACTACTCCATTTGCCTTCCGAGCCGTCCTTAGTGGAGACTGTTAAGCGAAAGCGAAAGTGGCTAGACTGTGAATGATTTGGAAGTTTCATATGTGATATGATTTTCTATGCGTACAAAAGTACCAAGTAGATAAGAATCAATTTATGAGACGAGATGTTTGCTCTTCCAAATTACTGTACATATATAGTCGCATATAGTAATGGTCTGTCTCATATTGGAAAATAGGTCCTTTGGATCCTCGCTGCCTGAATGTTGAGGTGCACATTACCTTCTGCCTTGACACCTGATTTTATCTACCTCTTTTCACCGCTCTTTTACCAAGTATGGTAGCAAGACAGTACCTGCATTTTGTTTGAAATCTGCTAACAAGAATAAGTCACTCCTGTCTACATGGCAGAATTTCAAGTCCGACTAGATTTGGAAGGCGGTACTTTGAATTCAGGATTCAAGGGGTGTTATCAATCCCTACATGTATACTTTCACCTACTTTTAACCTGTTTTGCTCTTTCTATATTTCTTTGGGCAAATCAGAGAAAAGTTGCCCCTGTTAAAAAGTCAGAGTCTAACTTACATGCGATATACATCCATAGTTAGTGAACTATTAGTATTAGCCCCAATTCCCCATATTCACATCTATTTCAGGAGAACGCGCTCGGCATATGCATTAAGAATAGCCCTGCAGGACTTCGGCCCGTCATTATCTTCTTCATCTAGTCTACAGAGACTGCCCAGTGAGAAATATTGGCCATTCTATAGGCCATTCTATAGTGGAGAATGCCACGACAGCAGCTCCACAGCCTCAAAGTGCGAGGTACTTTTTTTTCCCATCTAGCCCTGTGCAAATGACTTGGAACACCAAAATCCCGTCTCACATTTGGCAAGGAACTCCTGAGCATCCAATCTGCTGTGCTGACCATTGTCTCAAATGTTCGTGGGTAACGGCGCAACGGCACACCCGCACGGCCCCTCTGACAGACAACGTCTTCTCCATATCCAGATCATCTTTACTGCTTTAGGCAGCTATACCGGATCAATCTTTACTAGGAATGTGCGCAACGATGGACTAGCCACAAATGTCTACGATGCACGTATTACCAATGCTCTAGCGCAAGGACTAGCACAAATGAGGAGGGGTCGATGCACGAGATGCCCCGTGCTGAGCATAGCTTCAACGGTTTAGACCTACTTTGGTTTAGGCTTGCAGGATTGTCGTGGGGTCTTGTAAGCTGAAGGTAGCCCTTTGGCCAATGCCCTTTTGGCCCCTTACTACAATGTGCTTGTTTAATGTGAATGGTCATTGGCGGTTTAGTTCCAGAGCCGTTTCACTCCCTCCGCCAGAAAGAGGGGTTTTTCATCTTCTATGCTTCTCTAGATTCGCTATGGGTCTTGCAGAAAATGTCCTGTCACTGGTGACGGTGACCAATGCCATTTTTGGACTGATTGCCTATATTGCGCTCAAGTTTACCTGGCAAATTATTTACTATCGCTTCTTCAGTCCGCTCGCGAAATTCCCCGGCCCTTTCTGGGGCTCTGTAACTCGTCTCTGGATCGCATGGCATAATCTACTGGATACCGAGGTACCGACAGTTTATGCGCTTGCTAAGAAATATGGTTGGTCTTGATCTTGATTATATCCCCCAAAGGAATGTTTCTAACTCAATTCTCTCAGGCCCCGTTGTTCGCATCACCCCAACATTGTTGCTGGTCAACGATCACGAAAAGCTCCCGGAGATCTACCATCGCAATGCAGACAAGACCGGGCACTATATTACTGGAAGCTTCGGCGAGACCGAGTCCCTGTTCAACATGAGATCTCACAAGAACCATGCCGTGTTCAGGAAGCACGTTGCTGGACCGGTATGACGACACATGAGTTCAGTCGCAGACACCAAAAACTGACCCTCAACATAGTACAGTTTCAGCAACATCAAAAAGATGGAGCCATTGATTGATATGCGCATCACCGCATGGACCAACAAGCTCACAGAAAAGTTTGTGAAGACCGGCGAAGCCTTCGACTTCTCCTGGTGGGCAGTGTAAGTAGCATGAACCAAATGAAACAATACTCCGACTAACCATACAACCAGCTACATGGCCTACGACATCATCAGCGAAATCGGCTTCGGCGAGCCCTTCGGCTTCGTCGAAAAAGGCGAAGACATCGGCGGCCTAATCCAAGGCTTCCACGACGGCCTCCCAGCCTTCGGCCTCCTAGCCCGCCTCCACCCTTTCACCTCATGGATAAAAACCACCGCCCTGAAAAAATACCTTGTCGCCTCACCGGCCGACGACTCCGGCATCGGCGTGTTAATGCGCTTCCGCGACCGACTCATCGACCAGCGCATTAAGGACATCCAAAGCGGCAACAAAATCCATCAAACAGACCTGCTCCAGACCTTCCTCGAGGCTCGCACAGAAGAAGGCAAGCCTCTAGATCTGGAATACATCCGCGCAGAGGTCCTGCTCGTCCTTCTCGCTGGCGCAGACACAACTGGCACTGCCTTCCAGGCCATGATGCACTTCCTCATGACCCACCCGGAGGCGTACGAGCGTATGATGGCGGAAATCGACAACGCAGCCCGTAAGGGCCTCATCTCTGATATGCCACAGTACAACGAGGTCATAGAGCACATGCCTTTCTATGTTGGCTGTGTGAAGGAGACGATGCGTCTGTGTCCGTCTGCGCCGAACATCTTCCCCCGCTATGTTGCCGAGCCTGGTATTGAGCTCTATGGTCGCTTCGCGCCGGCTGGTACCGAGGTTAGCTGTAACCCGTACCTAGTGCACCGGGACCCGAAGCTTTATGGGGATGATGCTGAGGAGTTTAAGCCTGAGCGGTGGTTGGATGTTGAGAAGGCGAAGTTGTATAATAAGTATAACTTTTCGTTTGGGTATGGGTCGCGTGTTTGTTTGGGGAGGGATATTGCTATGATGGAGTTGTTCAAGGGTCCCTTGCAGGTGAGTTCTTTTCTGGTCCTGTGAGATGACCATTCTGGGGTACTAATGTGTTATTTAGTTCTTCCGTAAATACAAGCCGGAGACTGTGAAGGGTAAACCTGACGCTAAGTTCATGATCAAAGGTGGTATTGGGTACTGGAGAGACCTGTGGTTGACCATCTCTCCCCGGCCAGAGGTAAAGGCCGAGTGAAAGACGAGCGTTGGAGGCGATGCGGGCATTAGACTTGAAGATGATGCCAATAGAAGGCCTTTCACAAAATGTTGCATTGGCTTGGGTTTCGTTGTATCCATCGTGCTATGATTAGAAAGGTTGTGTTAGTGAAATTCTTTGAAAGATGGAGGAACGGGTGAGAGAAAGAGAATGTGAGAGATTAAGCAGATACCAAGGAAACTAAGAAGGATATCAGAAGTAAGAAGTGGTCGGGTTTTGAATAAATGTATGGATGTGGAGGATATTCAAGATAGATAGCATCAAAGAAAAGTCATTGGATTTATAACGCAGGCAGAATGGCACTTGGGATGGTGGATGGTCAACCTAACACGTACTTTAAGCCAAAGCAAGGAATATTTTACCTCTAATCCCTAAAATGGGACGAATGACAATATCTCTACAGAGCAGCGAGATACATCAACAAGACAGGGACAGAAAGTGATGTGGAATACAATAAAATTGACCGAAATGGAAAGTTATGTAGATGAGAAC